ATGTAAATGTTCAGCTCATATGCCTGTCTTCAGGAGTGGGTTCTGTTCCAGACCTGAAGGGCAGCTAGGGGCCGTAGTCTCGGCTTTCACCAGGCCGTGAGCAGGTTCTTCTTGTGTCGTTCGTAGGCATGAGGATCTCTCCTCAGTAAAGGTGAAGGGGGTGTGATGAGTAGAGCAGATACTTAGAAGGGCCTGTTGTGCGGGCTGACCCATGCGGCTGCAGGTTGAATCTCAGAGCAGAGAAGCCCTCTGATGGAAATGCTGGTGGCTGGAGTGGGCTTCTCTCTCTGCCTGGTGTGGGTTACAGCCTGCCTCTCCTTTGCTGTTATTTTGTAATCCATGTGTCCTTCTTTTCACAGTCCTTTGGCCTTAGAGCCCTAAGGTCCAGTGTGGCCCAGACCCGTCTCCAGCAGATAAGAAGGAACCTTGCCTACCAGCAGCACGAGGCGACGGTGAGGGCGAGGCTCGAGATGCGGACCTCTTCTGATGGCCGTCCTCTCTCTTCAACCTTTGCGCTTAGAAATTTGCCTAGACCTTTAGACTCCAAAATCTTAGTGCCTGTTTTCCTTGGTAATCCATACGGCTGACAGAGAGCTCTTATCTTTTGCCTTGTTTAATCTTGTTTTTCATCTGTTTGCTAGGAGAATAAATGGTTGAATCAGAGGTCAGAGGCCCTCCATTCCAGTCTGACCTGAGGACTGTAGCCACCACAAATACACATTCAGTCTTGTGTCCTGGGAGGCTACTGTCTTCAGTGGTCTACCCAAGGGACAGAACCTGAACTACTTGGAGATTTGTTTCTGGGTGCAGGAGGATGGGGTCAAGTTTCTTTCTTTCTTTCTTTCTTTTTTAATCAAAATTTTCACATACATAGAAATAATAATCATCTATATACATACCACCTAGATTCAATAGTTTGCTATATTGTTTTTTTTTCCCTTGTAAAATCATTTCAAGATAAACTATCAATATCATGACACTTTACATCTCAACATTGCAGCCCCCAAATAAGGATATTTTCTTACATAACCACAATATTATCCTCTTTAACAAAATTAACAATAGTTTAATATTGTCCAGTACCTATTCTGCATTCTGAGACCTCTGGCGGCATAGTGCCAAGGCATTTGTCTGCTAACCAGAAGGCTGGCAGTTCAAACCCACTAACCACTCCTTGGAAGGAAGATGGGGCAACCTATTCTGTAGAGATACCACCTCAGAAAGCCAAGGAGGCATCGCCATGACCTTGAAATGACTTGATGGCAGTGAGTTTGGTTTTTTGGAGCGTGCATTCAAATTTCCACAGTTGTCCCAGAAATGTCTTCATAACTATTTTTTCATTCAAAACAAGATTCAATCAAATATACACTCAGTACATTTGGTCATCATGTTGAATCTTAGACATTACGCATCAGTAGTATTATAGTCAGTTTTAAAAAGAAGGGTTGGGCTGGGTGGACATTTATGGCTCAGCCTTGTGGGCTGCAGAGTGTGTCCTCAACTTTCTAGAGTTAGCCATTCAGTTACAATAAATGCAGCCGTGCATGTCCACTGGGGGAGAAACCAGCATGTCCAGGAAGGGAGATCCAAAGTGCAAAGTAAATTGGGCCTCAGGCCCCCACCCTAGCACGCCCCTGCCACAGCACGCACTCTGATACTTTCTGAATGGCACTGACTTTCAGAAAACACAGGCCCGTTAGTTCATATAGTGATTCTAGATCACACTAGCATGTTTCCTCTTGATGTCATTTAATTCTCCTTTATTCTGTGTTGTTCCTATAAACTAGAAGTTAGATCTAGGGGCTTGATTCGATTAAACATTTTTGGCAAGGCTACCTCACAGCTGATACAGTGTGATAGATTTGGCTTTCCAAAGGAGGCCCAGATGAGGGGTAGCTTCTTCAGCCATCCACACACAAGGAAGAGCCATCTTTTGCCATTTATCTTGCCCCCGAGCTCCGTCTAGGTCAGGCATAATTCCTTTTCTGTGTTGGCTGCTCCAAATTGAGGTAATTCCTGCTTTGGGGGAATTTACAGTCCAGTGGAAAAGGGACTCAGGAGAGATGGTCGTACCTTTCACCTTGGTAAATTTCTGTTTCCTTCCTGTCTTGCTGCAGCTGCTGCGCAGGTTCTGGGACTGCTGGCAATTTCGAGTTGAGCAGAGGGAGGAACTAGAGCAGCGGTCCTTCCTACGCACTGCCTGGAATCACTACAGGTGGGGACTCGGCTTTGTCCTCTGGCTCCAGGGACACCTGTGACTCTGACTCACTGTTTGCCGGGGGCAGTCACTTGCCCGTCCACGCATCACTGGGGCCAATTTGGAAGGGCCTTTTGGGGTGCCGAGAAGCTCCTGGCAACCTTTTGGCTGATGAGGTGGGAAGCAGCATGAAGATGTTCACTGGTTCTTGCCCACGGTGGTTTGAAGTATCTGCTACCACCTCACTCCTTCTGGCCCCCAGGTTTCTGTGCTGCTCCCATCTTAGACCATAGGCATCAGTGGTGTTTTGGTCAGTTTTAAAGAGATGGGTCAGGCCAGGTGGACATTTACAGCTCAGCCTTGAAGGCTGCAAAACATAGCCTCAATTTTCTAGAGTTATCCATTCAGTTTAAATAAATCAGTAAAGTAGTACATGTCTATGAAGAGAAATCAGAATGTCCTGGAAGGAAGGTACAAAGTGAAAAGCAAAACTTGCGGGATCCCTCCCTACAGCCCCTTCGTCTTACTCCTCAGGGGTAGCATTCCTGCTGCCAGAGATGGTCATTATGACCTAGCCTTGCTTTGCAACAAGTGGATTCATTCCATGCAGAAGATTGTGCAGTGTGATGGTATGACTTGGCGTCACCTTTCCTTTGGCGCCTGAAAAAGCAGTTATGCTTACTCTGTGCGTCTCCTGCGTCCCATCCTCAGACTCTGCGAGGTTTTCATTCTCACCTGTGAGCATTCGCAATGGCTTGTCCTCATAGATGCTGACATTCCCCTCCCTTCTCAAGAGAGTGGGCTCTCTTTTAGACTGTTCTTATTCCAGTGAGATGCGCTTTTTAAAAAAAAAAAAAAAAAACGGTAGGCCACATGCTTGTTATTTTGTTGTTGTTAGGGGCCATTGAGTCGGCTCCGACTCCTAGTGGCTGTATGTGCCCCAGAGCTTAGCACTGTGGGTCCTGCACCTCCACACAACCCTTGCTACACTTGAGCCCGTCGTTGCAGCCACTTTGTCAGTCCGTCTCATTTGTGATACGTATAGTCCGTGTGAAAGTGAAATACAGTCCGTTACTTTGAAAGGCAGATTAGTTTTAGCACCGTAAAAGCAGACACTTCCCTCCCTCGAACTGTATAATCAACTTAATCAGCATAGTTGGCGGTCCAGTTTTGGAGCATTTTTTAATGTGTCATTGAGAAGGCCAATATTTGATTAATTCAGTTCTCAGTAAGCAAGGTGTGTATCTCACCGTGGTTCAAAACTGAATGTGGCTCTATTTGTCACTATTTGAAAGTGAACATAATGTTACAGACCCAGCTAGTCCCACAAAAGCCCCCGAGTTTGGCCCTGAAGGCAGAAAATTCCAGATTCTGGGTATTTCATCAGTTCCAGAGACTGCTTGGCGGTCTAGTTGGGATGACACAGTGTTGCCAGTGTTGGTAGGCATACCACAGCCCGAGATGAGGCCCTGAGAGGCTGCAGGCAGACATCAGGGCCCGCTGTCCTTTGCCTGGACTGAAACGAGGAAGGCCGCAAGGGGCCGTTTCACAAAGTAACTCTACTGGGTTGACCTGCCTTCAAACAAGGATAAAGAGCCTGAAACCAGAAGTTGTGGCCGGGCAGTGCCTTACTGGAGTCCTGTGTTTTGTTTCAGGGTAACATTGCTGCGCAGGTGTGTCAGATTGTGGTCACAGCACATTCACCAAAAGCACTGCAAGCAGGTGAGGAGGGCTTTGACAGCAGGTAGAGCTGAGGGTCCATTTGCTTTGGAAACGGTCTTCAAAAAGGCCTGTGCTCGGCCTCTTGATGTATTGATTTGGAGGAGGGGGTGTTAAGAGGGCTCAGCATGTCTTCCCGGCTTCCACTAGCGCTGTCAGAAAGTCTGCCTGACCGCTGCTTCTTCATCTCACTAGGAGAGGTCAGCGCTCACCACCATTTACTTCGTTACTCATTTATTATTAGATCAGCCAGCCCGTCACCCAGTGGGGCCTTAGGAGACATGGAGAATATAAGTGCTGTATCCCCATTGCTGACCAGTGGGAGACAGAGGAGTGCCCACAGTGCATGGGGGGGCGGGGGGTAGATGAGGGTCAGAGTAATGAATTAATGAAGGCAGATTGGGAAAGACAGGTTCAACGCCACATAATACTTGTTGAGCAGCCACTCTGCATCTGACAGTGTGCTTCAGCCCCAGGGACACAGCTGTGCTGCAGAGTAGCCAGAGTCCTGCTCTCACGGGGCTTAGGCTTCAGGCGGACACTGCAGTGTGCCCTGCAGGCCAGTTTCCAGAGTCTGGAGGTAGCGGGCTGGAGCGCTGAGCTGAGGAGCATATGGGGCCCTCTGTGAGCTCTTCCGGAATGTGTGTTCAAGCATGATGTTGTGTGGGCGTGGCTTCAAGCATGATGTTGCGTGGGCGTGGCTTCAAACATGATGTTGCGTGGGCGTGGCAGCACATGCACTTTGTGGCCATCCCTAGAAGGGAAGCAGAGGAAGACTCAAACCAAACTCCAAAACAGGCCATTTCTGTGCTCTCCTCCCCACCCCACCTCCGTCTGCTGCTGGCGTCTAACACGTGAATCTAAAGACTTGGGCTAGCCCCCCATTCATTTTAGGAGAGAATCCAGATTCCTCCGAGAGGACTGCAGATTGCTTTGGGAGCTGGTCCTAGTCCATTCCCTCTCCTCCTCCTCACTGTGTCTGCAGTTCTCTCTTCCTCACTGCCCTTTGAGCTCAGGTGTCCTTCCTCTCCCAGCCCACCCTCTTGCCATTCCTGTATCGGCGTTTGGGTGGCATAGTTGTTTACTTACCTGTCTCTCCTATCAGGAGAGTGAGTTCTTGGAGAGTACAACCTGTGTCTTTTATCATCTTAGTGTAGTACATTGCCTGGCTTTTGTCATAGATGCTGACTAATATTTGAATGAATGAATGAATGCATGAGCACGTGTGTTGTTGATCGCTTTAAGGATCACCTCCATTCTTGGCATTTGGATGCTACTAACCCAGAGTAAGAGAGCCCTGGTGGTTCAGCGGTTAAGCACTCACTGCCAACTGAAAGATAGGCAGTTCAAACCCACCATCTGCTCTACGGGAGAAAGATGTGGCTGTTGTTCTCCATAAAGATGACAGTCTTGGAAACCCTGTGGGGCAGCTCTTCACTGTCCTACAGGGTCACTATGAGTCAGAATTGACTCAGCGGCAGTGGGTTTTATTCTTAACCTAGGGCATGGCTTATTCCAGTGAACAGGGCAGCAGCTGTATGGCCTTTGATGACATAGCCTCAGAGGTCACACAGTGTCACTTTAGCTGTACTCTGTTGATCAGAGCAGTCACTGGCTCAACCAGATTCAAGAGGAGGGAACAGACCACACTTCTCAGTGAAGGAAATCAATGCAATGAGTCTGGTTTTAAACACCACACATGTATCTATGCTTTTTCCCCCAGTGTTGTTACCAGAGAAGTACGGATCCTTATGTCACTTGTCTGTCTTCCTACTGATACGATGTCAGTGAAATGGTAGCCTTCTGTACAATTGCATCAAAATCTGTATGACAGACAGGCACCAGAAACAAAGTCAAAAGTCCTGTTATAGGGTGAGAAGAATATTCGTCACACACGTGACAGGGGAGTCAGAAATTTCTTAATGTTCATAAAGGTGCCATCACTGAGGTCATACTGACAGGTAGTGAAACAGATGATGATTGTACACCTAAGTCACAGGGTGTGTGTGTGTGTGTGTGTGTGTGTGTGGAATAGGAAAAGATGCTTAACCCCCATTATAATTTAAAACAGGAAACACTTTTACTTATTAGTATTTTATTTTTCACCTATCAGACAAAGATTAAAATTCATGATTTTCATCTTTTTCTCAATTTTATTATGTAGGAAGCAACTCTCCCTCAAGAGTGTGACCCTGATAGTCATTATTTTAAAAAGTGAAGCGAAAATAAAGGCCGTCTGTTGCTTTGCCCTAGCTGCTGCAGGCCAGGGCCGACGGCCACTTCCAGCGGAGAGCCCTGCCTGCTGCCTTCCAGGCGTGGAGGAGACTCTGGCGGTGGCGCCAGCACGCAGGCGCCCTGAACACAACAGCCGTGTGTTTTCACAGGTACACTGTCTGCTCCAGCCGGTGTCTCGAGTTCTACGCTGCTGACCGTACAGCCCATTTGCTTTGCTTTTCAGCTCACAGCTCCCCAGGCCCTGGCTCTTCCTGCTTTTTCAATAATATGGGCTCATTATTGTCTGTAGCAGCACGAGGCAGCCAGTAGTTGCCCTGGGAAAACGTGTCCATCTGTGTTGCAAGTCCTTTCAGAACAGCTGAGCCTGACGTTCTTCCCTGATGATGAGCCACCCCGAGCTCCAGGAGAACTGCTAGTGTGTTAGCTTTCTGCCTCAGCGTGTGTCCGGGCCCTGCGGCCCTCAGCGGGCACCCTGCAGTGGGATCTCCCTGAAGCTCTTAGCTCCTGTTCTGCTAGGCCTGGCTCTTTGAAGTCTTGAGGTTGCAGTCGTTGACAAAACCAGAAGGGCTGGGAGCAGTTCACATCCTTTGAGCTCCCTCTAGGACAAAGCTGCATGGTGGTGGAGCACCGCAGTGGAATTACAATGGCTTCCTGTGTGCTGCCACTGTGGCGGGACCCTATGACGTCACAATTCTTGAGTGGTTTCATCCTCACAGTAGTTCTGAGAGAGAGCGATTATCAGCCCATTTTCCAGATGAGAAAAGTGGTTCAAAGTGCTAAATGACTTGCACACAGTAGCACAACCAGTAAGTGGCTGTGGTAGTTAGGGTTATGTGTCAACTTGGCTGGGCCTGGTTTCGAGTGGCTGCGCAGCTGGAGGTAGTTACTCCCCATGAAAATAGTAATTGACTCCATGGTGGAATCTACTGGAGCAGTTGAGTAGCTGCCTTAGGGATGTGGTCTGCTTCCAGATAAGATGCTTTAAGAAAGGTGTCTGAGCATCTTGGCACATTTGATCCTGCATTTGGCCTGCCATGTTGTCTGCTGACCTTGGGACTATTTCTGGACTTGAACTAGGGGCCTGCCGTGTTGTGCCATTTCACTTGTCAGCCTTGGGTTCGTCAGCCTCAGCAGCCAGCAGCTGCCTAGGAGGAGCCTGTAGCTCCAGTGGGCTGGGAGCAAGAGGCAGAGCTGCAGCCTTCACCAGCCCCTGGAGCTGGCACTTGGAGCTCAGACTTCTAGCCTCCTGAACTATGAGAGAATAAGTCCTTGTTTGTTAAAGCCACCCACCTGTGGGATTTTGTGTTGGAGCAGCACTGGAGGGCCAATACACGGCAGAGCCAGGGCTTAAACTCAGATCTCTGATTCTGCCGTCCAGGTGATGTCTACCAGATTAAGAGGAAGAAGACATTTTCATGGCTTTGTAAGAACTTTACATTTTTATATGGAGATAAGACTGACACACAAGAAACAACTGAAGAAAAATTCAAGTAACTGGATCCATGTGTCCTCAATTCTGTCAGCCACAAGTTCTTCTAGACTTCAGAGCTGGGGTGGGAGTAGGGGCATTGAAATATCTGAGGGAGGCTTCCTGTGAGCTCCAGGTGGGGGTGGATAGCAAGGTGGGTGAGAAAGGGGGGCTGGACTGAGGGGATGGGACTGATCGTGTAGATAGATGGTAGACAGGTGCTTGAGCAGACACCTGGAACTATTAATGTGACAGCTTTGGAGATTACCCAAGTAGGAGCTCTGCTGGCCTAGTGCCTAAGGTATATGACTGCTAACCAGAAGGCTGGCAGTTCAAACTCACCAGCCACTCCTCGGAAGGAAGACTGGGCAATCTACTTCTGTAGAGATACCACCTTGGAAACCCAAGGAGGGGCCGCTGAGTCGGGACTGATGACGGCAGTGCATTTGGTTTGGTTTTTACTATGCACAGCAGCAGAGGACGGCGCGGTGATCTTGGTTTTGGACAGTTCTGAACGTGGACTGAGATGTGTAGCCAGCACTCCAGGGCTCTTTAGCACAAAGTCAAGGAGATGTTTTTGGGGGGTGGCCATGGGAACAGAGGCTGGCAGGCGATAGCTCTTGCCTCAGCCCTTCCTACAAGCGGGCCCCTTCACCTTCATCTTCACCTCATTCCTGTGCTGAGGTCTTGTGGAAGAGCCATTTGAAAAATGGCCTCAGTGCTTTACAAAAGATACACACACACGTGCCTCTGTTTCCTTCATAAGCAAATACAAAGCCACGCTTAGTTCTGTTGCTTTTTGTATCTTGTTAGGCCGTGGAGACCAAGTCATAAGATTCAGGATTTCCACAGAGGCGCAGCATCAGCTGATGAGTATTTAGAGCTGTCACTCTGGTGGCCGCCGGACATGAGGGCATGTTCAGTAGTACAGATGAAGGGTGGTGAAGGCCATTACAGATTTTAATGCTCTTGTGGTTGAGTTGAACTTTCACTTTTTGTCTTAATTGTGGTGAGTATGTCTGAGGAGCCCCTGGGTGCACAAACAGTTAAGCACACGACTACTGGCCAAAAGGTTGGTGATTCGAATCCACCCTGAGGTCCCTTAGAAGTCAGGCCTAATGATTTTAGGTTCCGGCTGCCTGGTTCACGAGGGAGTGAGGAGAGCCGTCTGGGAGCTGGGCAAGCCGGAGTTCAGACTTGCTTTGCCGCTTAGCTCTGTGACCCCGGGTAAGGCAGGCGGTCTCTCTAATCCTCAGTTTCCTTAAGTGTAAAATGGAGCACTCCATTGCCATCAAGTTGATTTTGGCTCATAGTGACCCCTGTTGGGTTTACAAGGTGGTACATCTTCATGGAAGTAGATTGCCCCATCTTCTTTTCACAGACAGGCTGGTGGGTTTGAACCACCAGCCTTTTGATTAGCAATCAAATGCCTTAGGCACTGTGCCACCAGAGCTCCTTGTACGATGGAGAGTATACTATACTAGTTCCTGTCTTACAGGCCTGTCATCAAAACTAAATGAGGTGATCCACTGGTCCCCAGTGCAAAATACTGTCTCCTGCTCCCCAGGAGTTGAATTATTTGTGACTCTCATAGTAAATCAATATTTATGGGTTTGGTTTGGAGTTTCAGAAATCTT